GCCTTTCTTTCTCATATAAATGTCTAGTGGGCCATGCGCTGTGCCATTTGGGGCCACTACAGAAGCGACGACGGGTCCTGCAGAGAATTACGACGAGCCGGCGCAGCGTTTGTAGGCACACTGAATTCGATTTACTAACCGCGTGCTTGCATGCTAAGTCTCTTTATTTCAGGTGGTGGGTTTACAGTTTTTACCTTAATGCTTTTCTTTCTCATATAAATATCTCCCTGTACTCTATTCCATTAACTTGCGCACATCGCTTCAGCTAATTGTATTCGATTTCCATAACATTTTTGTGTTCGTGGCATGCCGTGAACTATACTTCCTGACCTCGTGCACTTAGCTAGGATTTGATTGTAAACAACTTATTGCATGTGCTATTTAATTAAGGTTTATATCACCGTTTCCTTATGCATTAATCGAGTTTTTCTCTTTCTCTCTCTCTCAAGTGTTTGGTTGTTGTTTGATATCCCCGGTGTGGCTGCGCTTGATGTGCATGTTCACAAGGTGCCTACCTGTCTATCACCAACTACCTCGTCCATACTGGCTCCAGGAGACAGTTGGTCGTTGCTGGAGGGGACGGGGTGCACGGTTCTTGTGGCCGTATTAGGCTCGAAGAGTGGTTCCATGCACTCAGTATGGAGCGGACTACGGTTCAGCCACCGTCTTGTGTGCGCTTGATTCCCCAAATACAGCGTGCTTGTGTTTGCCTGTGAAGGAGTGTGGGCCGGCTCCGTTGATGAAATGTGGTTCCCATCCGCATGCCTCCCGGTCTTATTCCTTCGGGTTTACACTGGATATGGGGTATGTGGTTGGAGCTGTGAGTGGTGCAGCGCAAGCCATCCATGGTCCCTCTGTAGGCGCAGGCGTCCTGTGGCTTGCCACAGTGACAGGCAACTCCGAAACCGGATGCCGCCAACCATGTATGTCCTGTGACTGACCACAGTGACAGGCAAATCCGAAACCGGATGCCGCCAACCATGTATGTATGTGTGCCCCTTGCTGAGGCTGATGTTGCATTCATGATGGTTCTTCACCGCAGTTGGGCTAAACCAACTTACACTTAAACTAGGTCTTTTTAATGTGGATAAAATGCGTTACATGTTATTTGGTTTGTTCTGCGAACTTGGTAATCTTCTCCTTACTTGCACACGTCGCTCACGCAAATTGTGGTAAACTAGCGTAATTTTATCGCGTGGTATTTTTTACATGACTTTCGGACATTTTGTACTGATCACGGATTCACTTACAACCGACTACTTCTATATGCTCATTTAGCGAGTATTTATGTCGTCATATGCGTTTACTTGACTCGATATCGGCATTTCGAATGATTGGCTGTTGTTTGACATCCCAGGTGTGGCTGCGCTTGATGTGCATGTTGACAAGGTGTGTACCTGTCTATTACCCACTACCTCGTCCATACTGGCTCCAGGAGACAGTTGGTCGTTGCTGGAGGGGACGGGGTGCACGGTCCTTGTGGCCGTGTTAGGCTCGAAGAGTGGTTCCATGCACTCAGTATGGAGCACACTACGGTCCAGCCACCGCCTTGTGTGCGCTTGATTCCCCAACTACAGGGTGCTTTTGTTTGCCTGTGAAGGAGTGTGGGCCGGCTCCGTTGAAGAAACGTGGCTCCCATCCGCATGCCTCCCGGTCTTAATCCTTCGGGTTTACACTGGATATGGGGTGTGTGGTTGGAGCTGTGGGTGGTGCAGCGCAAGCCATCCATGGTCCCACTGTAGGCGCAGGCGTCCTGTGGCTTGCCACAGTGACAGGCAACTCCGAAACCGGATGCCGCCAACCATATATAGCCCAGCATTCAAATGTGATCGGTTCTATTACCGACGATACCAAATAAATTCACGTGTACCTTTGGTGATCCGCAGTTTTACCAATGATCACTAGTCTTCTGTTTTCCGGTGTTTCCATAATCTTCTTCTTTGGCTTATAACTCACAATCTTTTTATTGTGCAGATCCGCTTTGCTGCAGCCTTCAGTAGGGCTACTAAAATGCGGACAATGAGAATCCCGTTTTCTTTATTTTGCTTCCCTGCGTTGTCGCTCTGGTTTGCAAGTATTGCGCATAATGATTATGCTGCCGACCCTAGCGATTTTGTCAATTATCCGGCCCGCACACGTAATTTCTTCCAGCCATCCAGCATGCCTTGGTCATTTTTCGAGTGAACCGGCCGGCCGTGAGAAAAGTTTGGTGATTCGTAGCTTAGCACATACATGCAACCTCGTGTGAAACACAATCCGGGCCTGACAGCCCTAGGGAAAGCAAGATCTTGCGGCACTAGAAAATCCACAGCGATGGACCACCTAGTATTAGGTTGGTAATAAACTTAATGGGTTTTTTAAATCTTAAACGTTAAATTCACATATCTTGGCCCACAAGTATACACAGGTGAATTATTCCACCTTCCACGTCAACGTAAGACTCTTGGATTGCGCATAATGCTACCAGATTCTGTGGAACCCCAACTACGGCTTCCGCCACTTCTTTCAACAGTCACAATGCGAAGTTGAGGGGTTACTGTTTCAGGTTAGCCACTTGGTTCAGCCGGTTAGAATGTCACCGAAACTTTTACTCTGTTCCTGTCTGACAACCACGGAACGTCCTCTCCAGTTGCTTTCGCTTTTACCTTATCTGTGTTTAAAAGACGCTTCAACGTTTCTCTAACCCAACTGTATTACGAGATATCGCCTGTGTACATAGACAGAAAATGTAACGTGACAAACGTTGCACAACCGATATTAATTTACACAATCGAGGTAGGCACTTTTACGCGTGCATCTGTGTAAAACTATGATGAGTTCACCAAAATGCTTTCCCTTCTATCACCATCCAACAGGACTTGGCAAGCAGTCGTTTTGTTAACCGTAATACACCTTTGTTCCAGCATGTTTACCTGCTTGAAGAGCGCAGGCAAGAACAAAACTGGAAGTGCATTGCATAACCTAATACGGAGTGGCACTGAAGTAATCCACTTTGGATGCGGTCCCAGTCATTGTAATGACCGAGTTTAACTTCAATCGAACTGCATGGGGATTACTCCCAAAACCCAACACTGAAGCTGCAGTTAGAGGACCCATGCGGAAAAGATGTAACGGTTTATGTTCATTTTAAGTCAGCTTGCTGCAACCGACACCAGTGACGTGGGCAAACACGCACGATGTCTTTAACAGAGGGTGGAGTTGGATTGGGGGCAGCAACTAGCACATGTTAGTTGGTAGCGTTGTCTGCTGATTACATGAACAAAGTGAGTGATTCCTGTTGCTAGTACTGTTTCAACGCACAATTCATCGAAATGCACTTCATGGAGCATATATGCACGCAATTTGTAACCTGTAATTGCATGACAATTCCAAATATCGAGCACGAGTTGCTTGCTTATTTTTGTGCTTCCAGAAATTTGGACTGTTAATCTGGAAACCAAACGGGTGATGACCACTGACAAGTTACGCGCGTGAAATCGACGCGCGGCAAGAGAGCCAGAAAGGCAATGAGCTCAGCCAGCACAAGACGACAACGATTACACGGACCAGACAAACAGTGAAAATTGGGGTTGCAGCGCAGTGAATCATGTACTGCTTTGGTCGTGGACAAAAGCACTCAATTGGAATAAAGCCGTAAGAAGACAAACACTGGCAGATGTCAACATTTCGTATTGTCTCTTCAGTGCCAAGACAATAACATGAAAATATATATGACGGCAGGTATGGTGAGACCGGAATGAGTTAGAACAGGGTAGGCGGCAGGCGTGACACCCCTACGCCCGAGGCAGCCGTAGGCTTACGAACAACTGTTTCTGCACGCAGAGTGCGGGTTTTACATGGCTGATCGCGACTGTCTTTGCGAAACGCAGCAAACGGACGTTAGCATGTCTTAACTTGCAGTTAGGATATACGCTACATCGGCCATACCAATAGATCGTTGAACTCCAGAATAGCGGAACATGTACCTAAATGGTTGCAGCGTCAAATCACCCAGTCGTCGGTTGCTCATACCACCAGTTCACGTTAGTCACCTGCTTCATCCATAAGAAGGCATTTAGTGGGCACCTGTCATCAGTTTGATCCGGTCAAAATGTTTACAATCGTGTTAAGATTTGGTACCGCCCGTTTGCTACGTTTCGCAGAGGCAGTCGCGATCAACCGTATAAAACCCGCACTCTGTGCGCAGAAACAGTTGTTTGTAAGCCTACAGCTGCCCCGGGCGTACGGGTGTCACACCTGCCCCTACCCTGTTCTAACTCATTCCGGTCTCACCATACCTGCCGTCATATATATTTTCATGTTATTGTCTTGGCACTGAAGAGACAGTACGAAATGTTGACATCTGCCAGTGTTCGTCTTCTTAAGGCTTTATTCAAAGGCAAGCAAGTTGCACCCGTGCAAGGTGAAGTTGAGCGGACGGCACGCCTTGCGAGGTGGCTGATCGACCAATCCAGCTGAGCAGAAGTGACCAGCGGGTGAAAGCCAAAGATCGCAGCCGGCACAAGTAGAGCACATTTTTACGGGTCGGATAGAGTGACCATATTCTCTTTAAGTTATAGCGAACAAAGTAGTTTTGTATCAGCCAAGATAGTTGTCCAAACAGCAGCGGATAAAAGACGGGCGTGAGTCGATAAAATCAGGCATAAAGCCAAAAAGAATCAGTCGAGGAAATTGCGCTACAGCAAAATAGTGATTCAAAATTTCGTATGTCATGCAATGATCCACTGTTCCTTACCACCAGGTTCATGGAGCACTACTTAGTCATTTTTTGATTCTAGAAGGGATTTCTCAATAGTGGGGTGTTTTCATTTTTTAAACAGGGCTACCAAAATTAAGAAACTCTCTGTTTGTTACAGTGTTGGTTAACAAACAAATCAAAATTTTATGCTGGCAAAATTGTTCTCTGCGGAAGAATGCATTTTTTCCCATATTTATCTTTATGTGTACTTGTTATCATGGATACATGTAAAATCGAAACATTCAGTCATGTTTCCACTTACTAGTTGGTTTGGAGGTCGAATGCGTTCACATATGCTTTCATTCCCAGCCTGGGATATAGTCCTAAGCCTTAAAGATTGCATGGCGGTTGGTTGTGAGGCGATAAAATGTTCCCTTTCAAGTTCCTTTTTATCAGCAATTAGTCTAAGTAGTTCTGTTACAGCTCAGCACCCACCATCCTTTGTTTAAATATCTGCTTCTTCCTCCTCAGGCGTTGACGAGCAAGTCTTGACACGTAAAATACCAGGTGAATTACTCACTCATATCCTGGAAGGTGTGCGGTGTAGTGCTGTTGACCACAAACTTTCTTCGACTCCTCGCTTTCCAGCTCTCTAAGTCTAAGAAAAAAAACAAAGCAAGACGTAACCTACTTTGTACACATTGGCCGATTGACCGACGTTTCCGGTGAGCTGATTTCCTCCGTCTGCCTCTTATTCGTTTCCATCAACGCGGAAGACGCAATTCGAATAACTGTAGCACGACTGAGGCCAGCAACAGACAACTTCTGGTCCCTAATAAAAACTGATATTAGTATGATAGAATTCACCTACTAAGTGCATTGAACAAGTAGAAGTAAATACTAGAAAGTGGATTGGAACTGTATCATTTAATGGAAAGAAGTTGCTACTAGGCCGTAGGCGATGCCTTTGGTACACACGCAGTCGTACGTTTACAACGGGTTAATTTTCGCACTCACAGCCGGTCTGATGAGACGTACCATCACCTCAGAGATGAACAATGAACAGTACTTTTATACAGGATAAGAAGCACTGCTTTGCAAGCCCAATTGGGTAGACTGGTGGGTTATCGGAAAACGTTAAAGCAAAAAAGCAGTTAGTAGTTCTACTGTCAAAAGAATAGACTTATCGTATATAATGCAGTAGGCTTGCACTCCAAGTGTTTCCATAGTTTCACCAGGGAACAAATATATCCAAGATAGTTACCGTGATTAGGATGGGGAGTAGCGTCAAGTAACAAAATGAAAGTGGTGGAGTGCGTCATTCAACCGACTTTCGAGTATGGCTATTTTGGGTGCAGAAACAACCGATTCGTGGAGAGCGTTTCATGGTTGACACACACGAACTGCAAAGCAATTTTTAAGGCACGCCAAATGGCTGTAGTGTTCTGCTAATTTCAAGGAGTGGCCTCTAAGCTTGGTCTTACTGTTGAGTTGCAGTAAAGAGCCGCATACATGATTTGGATTGTGTAAAATAAAACACGCCATAAACAAGTCGCCTCGCAGACGGCGACACCCCTCGCTGGATGCTACCAAAAGTTTCAGCCTCTGATCGTACGGAAGGGGGCGCATTCCAATGACGTATTTAGAAGCCCGATCTTGCGGTAGATCCAGTGCAGTAAGGTAGTGTTTTAACAAAGACTGGATTGCGTATTCGATATGGTGTGAACATACACATTCAGCATATCTAAACGCCCGTCTTAGCAAGCCGACGTGCTGGTTACTAGTTTTCGATGCGTTTGCCGATTCTGGAACAACCCAAGTTAGCCTGAACAAGCACGCCAAGGTAGCGTTCGACGGACGATCGCCGCAGCACTTGCGTTCCTAGCTTGTAGAAATAGGTACTCTAACTCCGCATATAGAGTGCCTTGCAATTGTGTACGTTGGATTGTAAAGGATTTCGGGTTGACCCCTCATGCACCATATCTAGGTCAAGCTGAAGTAAATTCTGATCGGTATCCGCCTGAAGGACAAGAACCTATGAGTATGATAACATGCTAAAATTAGAAGCGCCAAAATGAGCATAGGCTGATAGCAGCAATTTTGAAGGTGCTGACCCATGAGTGAAGAAGGAGGATCGCATGTACAGTTAACTGAATTCACACTGGACTCAGATGGGTTGGTATCGCTCCACCAAAGTAAGCGAAATCTGATGGACTTTGCTTATGTAAGGCTTCAAAATCAAATTACTTTATAGCTTAAGTGTGCTTTGGAGTCAGTTGATTAAGCAGACTTACTGAGAATAGAGGCATATTTCGAGCGACCTTCATTCCTACAGGCTTCATAGTCCACTAGGTTCTCATGATGGTAATGACTAAATGTTTGCTTTTCCTCATTATAACTGTATTGACGTTCATATGGGAGTCTAATATCTACCTTATCTTTTAGGTTACGAAGATTGCTTGTTTTAGTGGTCCAGCTTGGCAGTGTTTCTCGATGAAATGTCTTGAGTAGCCAATTACCTTAACTGATCTGTTGGTACTGTCTGCTTCTTCAGCACATAATCGCTAAAGCGAATAACTGCACTATGGGCGCACATGGTTGTTCCTGACATACACTTGTGATGACTGGTACTGAACAGTCCTTGCCGGCTATCGGTGCGCAGACGACTTACGCTTTCAGCTAATTTAATGGCTTGGACACTAAACATGCTTTTTAAGTTGATTTGGGCGGTATTTAGCTGTCGCACCAAGTGAACGATTTTACCCCATAAAGAAGCAAACACAATGTTGCTTTGAACACGGGGGTTCCACGGGGATTTCAAAATCTGTCTACTTAAGCTTCGTTAAATCGATCTCACCTAAACAATTAGCGGCTATAGAAATAAAAGACCACTGCAGAAACTCCACCGACTTGGCTTTAAAATGTCTGTCGGAAATAGTATTTGATATTTATTGGGAATGAAAACATATGTGGCTAGAGTAGATCTTCCAGTAATCGCACACACGGATTGTCCACTTCGATTTCTGGTAAATTATTCAACCGTCACGAGCAATAAGACGTTGGTGAACAACGGCTAAACTTCAAACTGCTTTAGCTGAGATTCTTAGTGAATCTGAACCGGATCTTAAGCTCGCGAGGATTATAATACGGTTTGAGCAAGACTATAATGCAATGTAACTGACACGCTAATTTATAGTTCAGGAAACACATTATCGTTACACGCGGCCTAAATGGCACCCCCTTCTTGTAAGTAGTGATGAGATGTCTGGCTGCAAATTGCTACAAATAGTGTTCTATCACGCATTGCTAAATTACTGTTTTCAGATGGCAATTTTCGTTGGCCTCCTACTCAAACACGCACTCTGATCTAGAAGCCTGCAAAAATTAGTTTTCCAGTATGCCTAAACGCTGCTGAATTTAACTGATTTCGTTTATCACCCCCCTAACGCTTACAAGTGGTGTTTACTAAGTGCACGTTTTTTGCCTCCTGGTGCCATGGAATTGGAATAAACAGTATAAAGCAGCTTATTCCTATAACAGTCGATGCCATCAGTTCTTGTTGTTTGAAGTTTCATCCTTCAAAAATGGCTTTTTCCAACTTTGCTTCAACCAACACCAGATCAGCTAAGAGCAGGTTTATTTTGTACACATAGCGCAAAATCTTTCCTTTGTCATTCATAAAGCTACGTGGCTGATATGTTCAATGCAGGATAGTGTTACGTGCAATAAACCCAATCGCTGACCACTATTAGCGTGTTTTATAGGCGATCTCCGTACATGTATTTCATGTGAACGGTGATAGCTTTGCAACAATTAGTGAAGAATACATAATACTGGGTAGATCTTGGCAAGTTAACCACATGGTAACGTGGTTTTACCTCAAACTTGTTGACTAGGATTGGGATGTATCCACCTGATCGTGAGCACTAACTATGCGCAGGATAGCTCATGTGTGGTGGAAATACCATAATAGCAACCTCGATGCTAGACGTCGCGTCCTAGGTCTGTCCATAGACAAACAAATATCGCTGCGTCAACTGAAGTGGCTTGGTCACGTCCTACGCATGCCGTGAGGCCGTTGACCACGGAGCGCTTTATTCGTTCGGCCAGGGCCGCACTGGAAGAAATCACGCGGTGGCCAAATTACCACCTGGCGACGAAATGTCAAGACGCTGACTTCCAGTCTAGCTGTTGTAGCATATTCATATGCCACTCATTAGTAATATTCATATGCGCTCGTATTGTGCGCCAGACAAATGTGCTGTTTCTTTCCTTTGCAGGATGGTCCGCTGCAGTAAAATATCTGGAGGAAGCACCACAAGGAAGTAACGGAGAAAATCCCCCAGACACCTAACCTTGTTTATATTATGATTCCTACCCCCGGTTGAGGTGACCTTGCACACGCAGACCGGCTTGCTCCTCGCTGTAATCTCTGCGTTGCTCTCGGGTACTGAAACACACTTCCACTCACTTCCCGTATCATCCTTACTAGGTGGTTGTGCTAACCTTATCCAGCCGTATCCGTGGTTTTCTTTCTCAATCCAGCTCCGCAGGTCTATTGCAACCTTTTGGATACCGAAGAGTCCGGACTCTCGAATTAACTGAATGATTCGTACATTTACTCTGCTACTCAGCTATCCAGCTCACTGCGGCTATGGCAGATGGTCAGGATTATTAGCCGATAAGCTGGTTTCCATTTTTATTGACTTGTTATATGCATTCAACAGGCACCAATCAGAACGAAGCCGATAGTTAATCAAGAAGATGATGGATTGTAGGATGCTTTTACTGAGCTTCACTAAGCCCACTGAAACACCTCGCATCTGGCTTCAAAGAATGTGAAACTTGATCAATGTGCAACTTTAGCGATTACCACCGATAAGACCGCAGGGATTACAACTTTGGTGGTAGCACATTGCAAGCAAATATGACGAGTAGGAACGCGCAAGTGCCCACTATTGTTTTGACTAATATTGTTGTATACATTCTCTTAATGTCCCGTGGGAAACACTTTTGCTAGTGGTATACATTTGGGAAGATTTAATCGAAAGATTTGCTAAATGTTTAATCATGCTAGCAGAAGAACGGTAGCACTATTGAAGTAATTATTTAAATGAAGTGTGCTAATCAGTTCACATGCAACGCCTTTAATTTTTATTAGATTTTGCTTTTCTTGTAAAACTATTGCTTCCATTAAGGAATAAACGCTTGAAGTAGACAGGTTCTTCTGGTAAATTTCCCCGCAAAACATTTAAAAAGGACGCCAAAGTACTACCCATATAAAAATTTGATGCCGCTGTTCTTCAAGAGTACTCAGTTTCTATACCATTTCCCGAACACTGCATCCATAGTACAATAGTATTGCTCCCTGAAGCTGTGACTTGCATCCGCAAGCCAATTGAACATAAACTTTAACGCAGTTAAATTGCATCCATTATCATTTCGACGCATCAAACGCGCACAGTGGCCTTATAATTGAGCTGGTCCAAATCAGCCAATGACGGTAGATGTAATAAACCTTGCATGAATGTATGAGTTCCTGATGCATGATGGAGGAGCGTGGAAGTTCTAGCCTCCATTCAGCAACGGACTTTAATCTGAAGCTAGTTCGACGCAGCTTAGAGGCGCAAGGTTATCCAAACACGTGGTAAGACTGGTGGAGTGTTCAGTGCGCTTGACTGGGCTAGTATGTAAGTAAAGGCGTGCATTGCGAGTGGCATCAGTTCGGTGTGGGGGCTACGAACACGGTAATGTGACACCCCATTAATCATCTTATGGCTAGTTTGACACTAGCACAGCCCTAGGTTTTGGACGATCTATCAACACTCGGGTAAACGACAGTACTGTGTCCGGATAGCGATGTCACAGGTGTATGACTGCGAATGACGGCGGCGGTGTAACGGGCTTACAAGTAAAGCAACAAAAGAGGCCTGCACAAGCGAACTAAAGGTCGGAATGTGGCCACCTTGAGTTATAGAGAGCCATCTTGAGCGGCGTTATGCTGATAGGGATAGTGCTGAGATATGACTGGCAACTTTATAGGCCCTGCTTTGTTACAGCACGCGTCGCCTACCGTCATCTTGGATGCAGTACATCGAGTTGATGATCCCTGAATCAGTTTTCCCCCACTGATCTGTACCTACATGCATGGACGGACTGGTGCGGACCCAACGTAAGGGCAACCTTCGAGTAATCCGAACCGTCGATTTTCCGCCAAAGCTTCCCACTTATATACGCCCTCATGTTGAATATGCAATACAAGCATGGCACCCATG